TAAACCGATTCAATGAGATCGATAGGGAGATCGATCGCGAGATCGCTCGTGCGATCTCTAGTGAGATCGCTTGCAAGATCGATTGTGAGATCGATTGTGAGATCGATGGTGAGATCGATGGAGAGGTGGGAAATGAGATCGATGCTGAGACCGATCGATAAGAAGATCGACCAAAAAACCGGGAACCTGGGAACCTCGCCGCCCACCGAATCGGCCCGGGAACCGGGAACCCGGGAACCGGGAACCGGGAACCCGGGAACCCAGCGTGCAACAAAAATCGGCGGGAAACTTTCGCCAAATCCTTCAACCTCCGCTAGGACCCCTTCAGTGCAAGCACTGATTGGGGAATCATGTTAAGACTGATCGCTCCCATCTGCTCGCGTGCCGTTCAACCCGTATATCCCAAACCCTCGATACCCGCCCTCTTCGTTTTCGATCGTACCCCCTTGGTGGTGTTCCCCAATCTGTGCTGCTTGCACTGAAGGAGTCCTAGCGGATATTAAAATATTTGGCGAAACTTTCCCGCCGATTGTGGTAGCCGGCTGAGTTCCTCGGTTCCCGGTTCCGGGTTCCCGGGTTCCTGGTTATTGGTTCTGGGCCGATCTCGGTGGGTTCCGGGTTCCCGGGTTCACGGGTTCCCAGTCGATCTCCTCATCGATCTCTGTATCGACCCCATGACTCATTATCGATCTCATGATCGATCTCACTATTCATAATCGATCTCGTCATCGATCTTATCAAAGCATCCACTGGTTGGGATTTTTCTCTAGTGCAAGATCTTTCTTACCTGCAACGTGCAGTTCGTGCCGCCCCAAAAACAAGGGAGGAGAGGACGGATGGAAGGAAGGGACAAGCGGGAGGGAGGAGGACGGAGCACGAGCGAGAGTAGCAGGAGGGGGGCTGTGAACAGAAAACACCTGGCAGACAGACGGTCAGATCGGGCAGGTAGACCCTAACAGGCAGGTCGGGAAGGCGGGCCCGGGCGGCCAGGTCGAGCAGGCGGGTTGCTGACGCGTGCGTCACGCATGAATCGCGAGGAAGTCTCGAGCGACAGCACGATTCCCACGCAAACTGTGTGGGAAATCCAAAGCGAAAGCGTGATTCCTGAGTGTCGAAGGCGCGGCGTCTGAAGAAATTGTACGCAAGTCCCACGCGAGAGCGCGATGTCTGCATAACTTGTGAGGAATTCCCTCGGGAGAGCGCGATTGGGGAATAAATTGTGAGGAAATATCAAGCGGGAGCCGTTGCTTCTGTAAACGGGGGGCCAGGGGCACAGTTTGGTGACCCCACACTGTCCCTTGTGAAAAAAGTGCGGGCCCCGGAAGGAGCACCTTGATGTAATTATACAATTGTAAACGGAGAGGGGGACCACCGATCATTATCTTTCGAACTGAGAGCTCCACAACAAGTACACGAACAAGAGCAACGACAACAACGACGACAACGACAACACCAG